TTAAATATCCATGTGATTTCTTATTTTTGAAGATTTTGTGTTTGACATCGAACACTTGTGTGTCGAAGAAGTAGTGCTCTTCGAGTCGGCGGTAGAAAATGCCCAGTCATTTCTGCACGAATCATCCGCTAATCTTGAATTATATACCTCAATCCATGTCGTTTGGATGGTAATCAGCGTAATATTCACGACGACCACGACGAAATCGCCAGTTGCATTTTAAGACGTGGACTTCCACAGGAAGCCCACGTAATAAAGTGATTCAAAACCTTTTACGAATGTCACTAATAACAAAGTTACAACAAAAATCCCAGAAGTCATCCTGGTGGAATCCAAATACTCACCAAAGAATCACTCATTTGTATTACAAAATAAGCTAAATTAAAAAGCGTTTTCAATCTGTTTTTCATTGACAAAGTGTTTAAATTTGAACAGCTGCTCCATTTAGTCCAATTCTCGACTGAAAGATCACGTGATTTAACGCAGACGATCTTCACCGACGGGTCATATTTCAGAAAAGCGGAGAGAATTAAGATTGCAGGACCTAGAGTTGCTGTGGGTATTCAATTTTTGATGACATTATTTCCCAATGTGCTTTAAAACACGGCCAAACCATAGAAACGGTCATTGAAGATCTTCATTTTGAATAGCAACGCCGAAGCATCTAAAGCATTGACTGCTTTTGATGGTTAGATAGTGTTATCAAAAAACAAAACCTATAACTTTCGACGAACATTCAACCTTACCTCCGACAACCTGAAATAGCTATTGATATTAAATTAAAGGCTCACGGACGCCATGTTGAGTTATGTCAAAATTCAATGGAATTTCCAAGGGTTAAAAGTGTGAAAATGGAAAATGATTTCTGGTATATTTACGTTTACCAAAACATCAAAGTATGAAATTGTTTATTTGATAGCATAAAAATGAATCATATGATAATGAACAAGGAATGACTGGCGCGGATTTTTTGTCGATTTTCAATGCGATTTTTCAATCGACTTTTAAAAACATAATAGATTTTGTCTTGTCCTTCTGAGGAGACGTTTAGTTAGCCTTCGTGCAGCAGAACCAAAGCAGTGTTGGTTTGGCTGCACGCATTCTACGGTGTTGTGAATAAAACGTTCTTTTCTAGGATAAATGTGACCGCAAAAATAATTCAAAATGGCATGCATTAAAATAGGAAAAAAACAATTGTCAATCGTCTAGACGACCAATTTTTCTTCTTCAAAGAGAGTCCGACAGGGAAATCGTCTCTAAGACAGCGTCGTTTTAATTGTCGGCTTGTTGAATCAGGATGGAGCTTATGAGGTCATATTTCTTAACATGACATTGTCTGCATTTAGTCTCTGCAACTGACACTGGGGAGAAGCGCACTGCGCATGCGCAAGTTTCAAGAAACAAAATGGCGGTTAAATCAAAGAGTTCCGACATCTTCTTCTCACGCAACCTCGTCCCCAGGGCCATCTCGGCCGACTCCGTTTCAAGATGGCGGTCGTCGGGGAGATGACCCTGGCGTTGGCTGAACTAAGTCGCTTTCTGATTGGCTATTCAAAATGCTTTTTCTTATATCACTCATTATTGGCTGTTTATGTTCGTCTATAGGTCGGGATGTGTTCGACACTGTCGGTATGTCCGGATAACCGTAACCGTTAGGTCTTTGATCGGTTATTGATTTAACCGTTACGATGCGTTCATTGTTTTTATTCAAATATTCCCGAAATTTAATTAAGGTACGTTTTGTCGATTAAAAAGCAACGATATTCTTTGGAATTCTTGTCAGTTGTCCTCTTATGTCTCTCTTGTCCAATGCGTGGTTTTGARWKSCMAMCTACTCGTGTAAGAAATTTAACTTGACGGATATATTTAGCGATAGCATTCGATGTTATAGAAGTCTTCTACTCGCCGATTTCTGCAGTGAGCGGATCCCTCAAGAATTCTAGAATGTACTGGATCTACTCCCGTAGGCGGTCTAGGGGTCAACACTGCCGATGCGATGACGGCAGGACGGAAGGACATTTTTCAAATAAATCATCAAAACAAAGCAAATACCGACTCACCACAGCTATCCCAGTTTGTGAAACCGTTGAGTTCACGTTTCGAGCGCCATTTTGAATAGATAAGCCACGTGATCAAAACCTCCAAAAATCTTGGAGGTTTTGATCAYGTGATTCYAGCCAACGCCAGGGTCATCTCCCCGACGACCGCCATCTTGAAACGGAGTCGGCCGAGATGGCCCTGGGGACGAGGTTGCTTCTCACGAAGAAAAGAAAGGAGAAAAAAACTGTTTTTGTGTATACTTTAGTAGGGTGTTGAAAATAAGACTATTATGGCACTGTGATAAGAAAAAACCTTTTGTGATTTTTTGCAAGACTCAAAACAGGGCATCAAAAAACTTAAAAGTTACCCCTTGTCACGTCTTCCGAGCGTGCGCAGTGCTTTTCTCCCCAGTGTCATTAGAACTGCAACTTGTATCGGCTTTTTGCAAGTAAGAATCACAATTCTTCTTCTTTTACTTGTTTAAGAGCATCCTTCATTGATAGAGTCTTTGGTCTGTTTGCTTTGATGAACTACAAAAACACAAAAAAGCGTTTGTCTTTTGTTAAAGCCGCCGCAGACGCGCTGAGCAAGATTTCATTTGTACTCTGTGCCTTCCGATTACACGTACATGTAAGATCCGTGATAGGATATGCGTCGTGTTTGCAAATCAAAATTTCAGCCACAAATAAGTATACTTCAGTAGAAACTCTACAGTGGAACCTCATATGAGCGGTCACCCTCGGCATCGTTATCCATGCCCTCGGTCATTTTGGTAAGATTCTGCTATGACGTCAGGTAATAACCAAAAATAAACATAGACGGACTGAGATCACACTACACTAACTTCAGGTAGCCAAAGATTAGCACTTCTCCGCATAATCTGAACTTAATTTTATATATAAAAAAAGAAAAAATCAATATCAACGTAATGAGCTGAAACTTTGTATAGGTTTGGAATAGATTAAACTCAAATACTTTGTGATATTTACTATGGCCCGTTTAAACTTGCGATTTTTGAAGCGCGATTGTCGCGCGACAATCGCCTGAGTTTCGAACACGCTTAAAATTTAGCTGCAACTCGCGGCGACAATCGCAGGGCTGTTTAAAAACGTAGGATTTGAGGTGCGCCAGAACAAAGTGGCGATTGTATCGCGCTGAAAAAATCGTAAGTCCAAATTGGTCTTTTAAGGTTTACGACTTTTATTTTTATTTTTGCATAAACGCATTCAGAGTAAAGTGAACAAGACATTAGTCTCAGTGAGCTTGGGCTACCTGTGGTTTAATGTTAACTTTCTCACCTCTAGAGTATCCTCCAGTGTTGTGTAACGATACTCAGAATTAAGGTTAGAAGTATATGCCTGGTACATTCTGGTGTTTGCTTCTACAAACTGTTCCACAAGCCTAATTTGCTGTTTCAGCATATCCGTCAAGGCAACTACTGCTGGGTTATAGGCTGTCATAGCTGAAAAACATCAAAGCACAGTCAATCTCATGATGGAATAGTATGTTTAGTATATAGCTATATATATAAAAAAACAATAGTTTTCAAACCAGAAAAAGAAAATTCAAAATGAAACAAATGAAATYAGACCAGTGATACATGCATTTTTTGTTATTTTTGCTGTGTCTAAATATTTATTTCATTACTTTTAACTACTGTAAATCTASAGAGTTAGCCTCCTCCCCAGGCAACTCTTTTCTCCTCCTTTAGGCTTCCTTTGTAACGGTCATCTTTGGACGCTAGGGACAAGATGCCTCCCCTCTCTTGTCCCCATTCCCCCTCTTTTGACACCCCAAAAAAGACAGGAAGCTAGGAACAATCAAAGTTATAACTAAGTTCTGAAGTTTATTGTTATTAATACCTTCCAGAGCCTCAGGCGAGACAACATGTGTTGCTATGGGAGATGGATCAACGTATTGCATTCCAAACTTCYGATTGGATGTTGCCATGCCAACAGCTAGACCTGCAAACAATAACAAATAACTAACTACCTATAATGAAGTAAATAGATTGGAATGGAAAAAGATGCTTTCACATTAGAAAAGGGAATGGAAAGAAAATATTAGTTTAGAACTGTCATTCTATAATGCAGGTAAAATGCATTGCCATCTTGGAAAGTACAGTATCACAGCATTCAATGTTTTCTGAAATAGTTGTAGATAATATTTAATTAAATACTTGTTTATAAACAGGCTACAGTCAAAACAAAACCATAGATATCGTGCAATTATAATTTTCTACCTGATGGTGGTAGTTCAAGGTCAAGGCCAGTCTGCACTGAAGCATCACACAAATGACTATTTCTGTTTGCTGCATCCTGTATTCAAAGAACGATCTGATAAAACATTGTTCTCTATTTCAAATTAAATTATGGATTATTAACTAAAAGTTTAAGAATAAGAATCACTCTAGAAATTATGTGATATGCATTTATCATTTATCAAGTTCAATTAATTGAATGATAGTGAAAGGTACAATTTTTTGCATTTTAACCCAATTTGTATGATTCAATTAATTGGCTATTTTGACTAATAAGAACAAATAATAATAATGATGATGATAAATATATAATAACAATTAAAAATAAATATTAAATTTAATTAATTAATAAGATTATAATAAAAGACCATAATCAGCACCTTAACTCTTTTTGATCTCGATTGTTGTGAGCTTTCATGATGTCTCTCAGAGGCAAGACTCGACCTGGAACTATATCCTGATCTTGTATGTGACTTAGAATGCTTAATTTTTGACCTTGAAGAATGACTTGACCTTGATGAGTGACTTGACCTTGATGAATTGCTTGACCTTGATGAATGGCTTGATGTTGATGAGTGACGTGACCTTGAGGCCCTACTTGACCTTGACCTATGAGATGACACAGTTTCTCTTTCTGAAACCTCTTCAGCTGTTGAGAAGTCCATGGTGTAAGAATGTTCAAAACTTGCATTACTTCTAGACTGACTTCTTGACTTGTTGTGGGACCTTAGTCCCCTTGGTGTTGGAGTTGGTTCAGGACTGCTATGACGTATACTTTGATCATTTGGTCTAGTGTTCTCAGGAGTTTTGTTTCGATTCAAAGAAGGCAAAACTTCATCAATATCATCTTCAATTTCCTCCACAACTCCATCATCCTCTGTTTCAACATCAGATGCAAGGTTTAAATTATTCAAAACATTTTTGATATCTTTGGGTTCGCTAATACTTGTACTTTTAGATGGAGTATCATTATTAAGAGTGGGTAGTTTGTCTTCATTGTCACTGAGTTCAAAGTCAGCAAGTTGGACACCATGGAATAACGCTTCTGAGTTTTCATCCAGATCATCTTTTGGAGAATCAGGAAACATCACAAGGTTTGGCCTAAAATCATTGTCTGAATCATTGCCTTTTTCTGTGATTGAGTTGGTTGGAGTGTCTTTTAGGTCTTTATCACCTGCATTGTTAAAAAAAACCCACAACTTTATGATATTCCTAAAATAATATAAAATTAATTTTATTTTTACAACACTTGTAAGACTTACATCAAGTAAGACTCTAGCCTGCATAGCCAGAAATCACTAGCCGTTCCGAAAGAGATTTGGCCRGAGAAATTAAACCACCAGGGATTCTGGCAGTCTGGATTTTCTGCCTAAAACTTCTCTCAGAGCAGCTATGAACTTTTCCTGGCTACTCTGGCTATTAAAACTCTCTTTGGTTTCACAAAAAAATAATAAAATAATGAAAAATTCCGAGAATTGAGAAAAAAGTTTTTAAATGAAACTTTTGAAAGATTTTGTCCGTCCAAGAATGTTTTTAAGGACTCAGGTGCATGCTTGTAACTTTTGTTGCAAATTTCAAAAGCTTTAGTGGAGATGTTTCAAAATTTTTCCGTTCAGTAATTTTTTTTTTTTTTTTTTTTGATCTTCCAACCGAATCCAAAAATTCCAAAATTCCAAAATTCTATTGGATTGTATAGAGAAAGAGAATAACAAGAAGTTTCTTAATACAAATATTTTGGATTGCCTACAACCAATCGTAGATTCCAAGATTCAGTGACTTTAAACAATCAACATTCAAGCAAAAAAATACCTAATTCACTGTCTGAACTGGAGATAGATATATCTGGAGTCTTGTCTTCTTCATTTCGTACTGTTTTGTCAAATTTCTCGCCACTCCACAATCTTTTGATTCCAGATTTTTTCTTCAAACTTTCCAGGTATTCCTGTAGTTCCTGATCACTGGTTTCGTCTTCAAGCAGGCTTGATGTTCTCCTAGAAAAGTCGATTGATTTTTGTGTCTTTGATTTCTGAAAGCCTTCTCGCCATTTTTGCCGACTTGTGGATGTTTTCCTTTCCATTTTGTCGAATCAAACTGATGTAAACTTAGATAGACGAGACTATGTCTCTAGATAGAAACTTGACGTTTTTCACTAAAACTAAAGCTTATTCTATAAAAATGGATTCAAAATACATTCATCGATTTGAAACGTAAGCTAAATTGTTAAGAATCTATAAACACCATTGATGAGCTGTCTCAAAGGATGCATTCAAACTATGTCTGTAAAAAAACTAAAAAAAATATTGTTGACATTGTTCGAACCGCCATATTGTTTGAAAATATCGCAAGGAGACTGGAGCCGAAATTACGATCGGGCTTCTCTCGGTGAGTATTCGTAATGTCGGTTTTTGGCCTGGTTACATAGCATAAACATCGAAATAAAACGAAATMTTTCATTTTTATTCAGTCTTTTTTCCTTGTGRAAAATGTTTAACAATGAAGTTTTCACACATWTTCATTGGTGATTTGCTAGGCAAAATGGAGTAGAAATGGTTTCTTTCTAAAACGGAAAACACTATGGCARCAAAAACAGGTTGTGCTTGGAATACTTTGTCAGCTGAATCGTTGGAAACTATCACTCTAAATTATATTTGCCAAAATATCGAAAAATTGTGCTATGAAGTACAAGAACCTGTGGGAAACCTCAACAAGCTCGCTTTCAAGATACCATTATTCCTTCACGAGCAGTTAGCCGAAAGCATTCTGCGTCAGTTAGCATGTTCAGGGAGACTTACGTTGAATATATTGACTCTGTTTTTAGATAGAGCTACGTGCAGACTGCGAAAAGCTAGCATTCAAGACTCAGATATAAGAGAAATAGGCCTTAGACTACTTCTTATGCATCACAAAATCAATGACCTGGACCTTAGAAAAACCAACATTGCTTTTACAGAATTGGTGGTTAGTTCTCTAAGAGGCTATGAATCCACTAATCATTTGAGAAGGCTCATTATCAGCCAAGCAAAAAGTGGCTTAGAGCCTGGAGCCATTTGTGCATTTAAAAATTTAGTATTTTTAGACATTAGCAAGAATAGGATTGATGACTCTGACTTGAAGAAGATTTGTAATTCCTTGAACAATTTGGAAGAATTGAATATATCATGCACTGCAATAAGTGATGCAGACTCTTTTGGTTCCTTGAAAACCAAACTTAAATGCCTCAAAGCTTATAATTGCCCAGTAGCTTGGAATAGCCCTACAGATTTTGCTCAATTTACAAAATTGCGGCACCTGGACATATCGCGAAATCCTGGAATGCCACAGGGCTACGATTGGCCGCGTGATGCGGAAAAACTGGAAATGCTCTTGCAAGACACGGAAGCTCTCAAAGAGTTACAAGTGCTGGATATTTCAGGTACCCCGAGAGTCATGGACTATCCACTGGAAGTTTTTATTTCTTCTCATCCAAAGTTGACTTTTCTGGGACTTTGTAAAACCGGATTGACTTCTTATGCTCAATTTTTGCCAAAGGATGTTGAGGTATGGAGTAAAATAATTCATTTGATAAAATTAAAGTCAGGTTTTAGCATGTGAAGTTAGACAGAGGTTATGAAGGAAGCAGAACATGTGATGATATACTTCGCTGCTTTTTTCATGCTTCTTTAAAAGATTCAAAATCAAGCTCCTTCATTATGCTCACTGATTTTCAATTACAGTGTTCTAGTAATAAGTGGATTCCCTTATCTGTCTGTTAATAAATATCTTCTCCTTCAGTTATCATGAATCAGTGTGTAAATAGTTTAATTACTTGCATGTGCTGTGCACTTGCAATTAAGTTTTCAAAAAGTTTGGAAATTATAATTGGGCATTTACAACTCTATAAAAAGAGACAGTTCTTTAAAATATTTCTTGTTGGAGAAACAAGAAATTAGACCCTTTGCAGCTAGAAGTCATGTGACCATACCTATCATGTCGAATCAATGAGTTCATAATAAATCCAGTTAAAACCTAAATGTTATTTTCCGCTAAACTTTCTATTGTATGCTGGTTATTACAGTGTAACTTGTCATGCTGATTGATTTAAGGCGGGTGTGGTCATGTGACATCCCAGGTGCAAAGGTTGTATTTCAGCTACAGTACATATACCTCTCTCAGGGACATAAATATCATACACACATGAAGAATGGGTTACAGCGGAAACCGTTGCATCGCGACTTCAATGTTCAAAGAAAATAGTTGGGATTTAGGTTATTCTGCGACTTGGGGGGCGGAGCTTAATACTAATCAGCCAATGATTGAACGAGTTTTCAAAAAGCTAAGCCCCTCAGATTGAAAGAAAGAACAAAATCCAGACAAACTTCAAAACAAATAGGTCACGATGCAGCAATTTCCTCTGTAACTAGACCATTAAAACTATACTCGCTAAATGGACTACACATTTTGATTTTGATTTATAATTTATCAGCTAAAGATATAATGAGGGCATAAAATGTTTATTTTTGTGTGTAGTGAACTTATTGGTGTCAACGCACACAAGATCACTATTCACTTATTACCGTTTAGTACATCATGTGTGATCAAAGTACTGAACATATACATTACATCATAGTTAATTATTAACTATGATTAGTACTAAAAAGTCCAGGGAGGCGGAACTGTACTAAAGGCCCAGTTTGCATCATTATGCTTTGGGAGCATCTGAGCATTGTTTATGATTTAYACCGAAATTCCAATTCATTTACACTAATTTGTAAGATATTTTACATACATTTTACATAAACAAGGTGAAATTAAAAAAATGTATAAATTGTTAGAGACAGAGTGAAAGTGTATGTTGGCCAAAGGAGCAATAACTTCCGAGTTGGCCAAATAGATACTTAGGTTCATTTAACTAAAATATTAATAAATAAGTATTTACTAAATAATAGTAAGCTTTACTATCCAAATATCAACATAAAACAACTGTCAGATGGTTGAAAACTCTAATATTAGCGTTGAAACTGCTTAGAAAAGTGAGATGGTCGAAGATTAGAAATACACAGTACAATTTATAGACTTTTGGTAAATTGAAAATGGTTGCGTCCAGGCCTTGCAGCCCCAGTTCAAAGCATAATGGTGCACACTGGGCCTTTTAGTTTTTTTTTTTTACAAAATTTTAACTTAAAACATTGTTACTTGTTTCACTTGGTACAATTGTTGTTTGTTAGAGGTGATTGTTGTAAATTTATTCAGACAACTGGAGAAGCTACAGAACAGCAAATTCTGTCATCATTACACCATTATCCAGATAGAGAGTCTTACATGACAGAAAGCTTGAGAAGACTTTTCCATATTAGTAAAAACTGGACAGAACAAAGATATGACGTTCTGCAGGTATTCAACACAGTGTGCTCATGCAGCTTATTTAAGTAATGCCCCGAGTAAGAACTAGGGAAGCAAACGGCATAGGAATGCAAGAAGGTGCTAATTGCGCATTGTATAATCTGCTATAATTTCCCAAGTTAGCGAATTTTCTAATATTATATTTAATGTCGTTTTTCGCTTTCATGAAAGCTTTCTTTAGCTTCAATATTAAGGCAATTCTACGTGGGGAACATTGCAAATTAGAAGCATCTTTTAGCTATTGTTTTGAGTGCTTATGATTGGATAAGAGCTTTTAATACAAAAGAAWCTTTBTTYMAAAMYARAGTTTATCCACATTTTATTTCAAAAATGTGTTACCCACAGATGGATACATGATCAGTGTGAAAACCAAGACATTCGTTCGAGTTCCCTAGTTCTTACGCGCATTGTTACTTAAAAAGTGTATTCTCAACAAAAATTTACTGCATGCATGTTTGAATTCGTTCTTAAAACTTATTAATGAATACTTTCAAAAATATTGTTTGACTGCAAAAGAAAAAAATATTTGCCAACTGTTGGTATTTGAAGCATGATGAACTGGCTCCTTGAAATGAATGATTACATATGATTTTAAAGTCCATTCAGTGCCTGTGCAAGGCTAAACTGTAAAATAATATGATTAATAATATTCATTTGTTTATGTTTTTCAAAGTGTGTCTTGCCTCCTATGGAATTGCATCCCAATGAATTGCGTGTCCAAATGGCATCGACGTAAGTAGTGCTTGCTCTAAGGCCCAGTTCATACATCGTAGCTCAGAATAGATATTAAGCACATGAACAGCTCAGCAAATAAATCAGTTCATTACAGCATGACTTTGGCATTGCAGTATCCATTGCAATGCACATCCTGCTGCAATGCAAAGTACAATGCTGACTCAAAAATATTATTTTCCTTTTGGACAATAGTAGTGGATGCAACATGTGCCTAAATTTTATCTAAATCTTATCTAATTTATTATTAATTTTTTTCAAACCTTTGTCTTTTATTTCAGAGCCTGTATTTTCAATTTAACAAGGACTTTACAAAATGAAAACGATCTGCATCCAAGTATTCTTGGGTAATAATATTATTGTTTTTGATTATCTGCAGTATATTTTGGTGCAATTTGAATCATTTTTAACAGGGCAAATTTCTTTAATTACAGACAAATTGCTAGCCTTGTTTTGACAGCAATGGAAGCATTTCCAAGAAAGCATGAGGTTATCACATTTTATTAGTGCTTTGTTCAACTGTGATAATTCCAGGCTGTTATAAGTTTTATGGAAGTCTATATTTAGGGAAGCAAGGATGCCTGAGCAGTGTGTACAGGCCTGTCACCTCTGTCAACTCAAATCTCAGTTGAGAACCATTTTGATTTTCTTTCATTCCTCCCATTGCTTTGAGGTTGTGATATATTGTAACACAATGTAGGATGTGAAATTGTTCTTTTTTTGTACATTAGTTTCTATTGCCTTATAAATCAGTCATTTTTTTCATAATCATTGAATGTACAATTCAAATTCTTTTATTTTTTTTAGTTGATAAGAAATTGTCTGCTGATTATGGACTCTAAACCGATGTTAAGAACTGCTGTAAGTATAGACATTGACTGTAAGTTAGATACATTTAAAAGTCGTTCTGTGGCAGATTTCAGGGCCTGACATATCAAGAATTTGATGTTAATGTAACGGAAGGATTGCTTGTGATTTCAGCACTTTGACTACTACACTGCTTGCATGTCGGCAATGGATGCCCTGTGTCAGTTTGTCAATGATCTGAATATTGTAAGATTGGCAACAAGAATTTGCGCTATCTTGACTGCCAAGGTAAGTACTAATTGAAATAATTACAGGATATTTTTTACAGAAAGTTTTGTCAGATTGGCAACACCAGCAGTCTAAGAGAGAAATAGGATCATCTAGTGAAGCATTGGGCATAGTGAGGCCAGGTTGTTCAATGACTGTCTACTGTTAATCCAGGGTTAACTCCATTAGTTTTTAAGAGTTAACCAAGGTTCTATGGGCTTGGTAAGTTCTCAGACTGGGTGGTCAAATTGTGCTTGAATTGGAAAAGATTGTGTCCTTCTTCACTTCAAATTAGCACCAGAGGGACATTTATGAAATGGAGGAAGGGAAGGGGGGTTGGGGAGAGATGGCACTTAAATGCAAAATTATTATTTTTAAATGCAAAGAATCATGAAGAAGCAAAAACTAAATAAAGTTGTTTATAAATGAATCTCTACACTTGATCAATGGGCAGATTTTCTATGTTAAATTTGTAATTTCTTAAACTTGTTTGTCTTAGAAAGGGGGGGGTCAGGGGGGGGGGGTCAAGACCACCCTGTGACCCCCTCTGAATATATGCCTGAATGTGTTGATTAAGAGTAAAATTGAATTATTCAAGTAATAAAACAGCTAACATAAATCAACTATGCGTGCTGGGAATACATCAACCTCGTGCCCAGGGCCATCACGGACTCCACAAAATGGCCGGTCGTCCAGCGATGAGTCTTCTGGGATGGCCCTGGGTTGGGAATACATGTATGTAGAGTCTGCAATATTGTTATTGTAAACTTTAAGATATCTTAATTACATCTCCATTACCAAAACCTTCCATCTATTTCATCCTGACCACCTGCTCCTAGTCTCCTTCACAGCCTACCCAAAAGAATAGGAGGGACAGGAAGCCCGACAAAAGGGTAGGCTGTAAAGGAGACTAACCTCCTCCCAGTTTAATGTAATTGTACTCAACAGACACCAATAACATTGGAATGTGTTGTTTTTACCCCGGGGTGGGACTCCCTAATACCAAAGGGCGGGGGTCCTCGACGTCCCTTTTAGGGTTTGAAATCAGTATTTTGGTCCCGCTTAGGGTGATAATGACGAGAATTCCCACCAACTGAGTTTTGTGGTCCCTTTTATGGTATATGACGTCCCTAAGCCGTCATTATGAGATCAAAAACCACAGCTGCTAATTAGATGATTGATTTTATTTTAATCAATTTCACGTCTTGTCACTTAACACTCCTTAATAGACGAGATTATTGGTCCCTTTTAGGGATGAAATTTCAGCACTGCCACGGCCATCATCTCCAAATACAGGTCCCTCTTAGGGGTCATTTTCATAATTTCCGCCGAGGACCCCCGCCCTTTGATATTAGGGAGTTCCCCCCCCTCCCTCCCCCCGGATTTTTACCCTTATTTTTGGCTATTTTGATGCACTCAGATATCCAACTATGAGACCATAGCTTTGGGGACAGACAGACACATCAAGGTAACCATATTTAAAAGACTATCTGAACAATACTTTCTTTACAGTGCAACATGCCTTCCATGGCAAACTCACTAAATGGCGACCGATTCTTACACAAATCTATAGTAAACAAAATATTTTTATGGCTCAAAAAACAGGCAAAATGTGCATGAAATAGGAATTGGGAAATACATAGGTCCAAAAAGTGTTTTACTAAGCAAAGGAAAGTTTAATTGAATTTAGGACTAATGTATAGACTACCATGCAACCGGTCATGGTTTAGCATTATCTACTCTTAAACATGATTAATGCTCATTCATTATAATCTTTTACACAAAATGATTTCTAATATATGTTTTTACTAATACTTGGACCTGACTGAGATTTGGTCAGAAGAAGAAATTTTTGTTGTCATTTCAATATCAATATATTGTATTCAGAAATATGAAATAACAGTGTTTTCTTTCACAGACATTGCTGAAGATTGTTAAAGAAAAAGTTGACTCTAAAAGAGCGGACTACATTTTAAGTGTGGCACTGAGTGTCTTATGGAACCTTACAGGTGAATTGTATTGATATCATATGACATACCCTCCTCTGCAGGCAACACTTTGACCTTTTGGGATTCCTCTGGTATCTAGCCTGACATGAAATGAAGGGGTCTTGATTTTTTCTCTGCCGGGTTACAGTCTCCCTCCGTCATATTGAGGAAGACATATTGAGGAAGCCCGAGAGTAGAAAGTTGAGTGGAAAAGAATGGAGATGACTGCAGAGGAGGCTACATACAGTATGATCCACGTCTAATGCAGCATGTTCCTCTCAAGAAAACATGGTGATGTCAATTGGTAGATGGATGCTGTCCCATACATTTCCAATTTAGCCACACAGCAAAATCTATTGGGAACCAATTTAAAAAGAAACAGGGAATAATTGATAAAATCTATAGTACAAAGTTGTTAAAAAGTGTGAAAACTTGTCGATGGATTTTGTAAAGCAAGGGTAGACAATTGACTGATTGAACAGAAATATAGGTCAGTTTTGAAAATAACAAGAAGGGAGACCCTGGTGACAAGGTTGAGTTTTGATATATAATACCTAAAAGCTCAGGAATATTTAAACAAGGGGGTACCCGAAATTTAATTATGGTAAATTTATTATGAAAAAATATAGAGCTTTCTAGGTATTTTTTATATAGTACGATCTTTTTTCACACCCCCCTCCCCCTCTAAACGTTTTTATGAATGCTCCCTTAAAGGATGTGAAGGAGTCTGTTGGGTAGGAGGGTTCTCATCTCCCCCATCCTCTCCCTTCCCATTTTCACTAAAGGCCTCACCTTTATAATTAATGGGGTTTTGTTTCCAACTTACTAGATGATGCTCACTGTACTTGTCAACTGTTTGTTGATGGTCAAGGATTAAGGCTCTTCATCAGAGTCTTAAAGGTAGATAAAATACTTAATAATGTATGAGCTATTAGAACAATTGGAGTATGACCTTTATACCGCATAAAACACAGATAGTTTACAAAAGTATCTTTATAGAAAGGCAAATGAAACCCCTCCCCCTCCCTGGTCGGTGAGGGAGGGGCTCCCATATATGGAAGGATAGGGGTGACCTGAACATTGACTAAACATCTGTGTGCTAAAAAACAATCAAAGCCAACTTGAGGTGACAGTTTACTTAAAAATAAACAAACCAAAACAAAACAAACCGTGCCACTGACCTTAAAACGCCCTCCAAAGTCTGTTACTGAGTTCGAAGACTTAGATAACAATTACTGGATTCTCACCATCTCTTTTATAGGAGTTTGGAATGGAAAGTTTCGTCATCGTGAAGAAAGTCTTGGGAACTCTGGTAATGCATACTGAAATATTTGTAATTTTGAGTTGAGATACTTTTAGAGTGGTTCTCATTAACTCGTGAAATACTCTTTAGGGTATTACACTTTATTACACTTTGTCTCTTTTGTCTTCTATTATATTTCTTGGCTATTACACTTTATTACACTTTGACTATTACACTTTGTTTCACGGGTTATTGAGAACCACTCTAAGAGGGTTAGCCTGTGTAGCGGCTCTAGGGGAGCGGAGACGGGGTAAAACAGGAGGGAAGGGTTTTTTTTCCTCCCTTCCCCCTCCTCCCCCGATTCCCCTGCCATAGAGCCGCTACACAGGCTAAAAAGGTTTTCATGGGGAGCAGTGAAGGATCCTTGACGTTACAAAGAGGATGGCTAACTCAAGAAAAAGTATTTAATATACTTTCTGATGATCGCTGCGTTTTTTGTTTTTAAAAACATTCACTTTTAGATATACTTTCTAATTCTATTTCTGTCATTATAGAGCTAATCGACTAATGCGTTCTCTTGTACGTTACCATCCAATTCAAATCGTGTGTGAAAAAGAACTTTTGTTTCTAAGAATTCAACTGTGCTTACTCCCAAGTGGTTTGAATTGGGTGGAAACCGGTTTATAGCAGCGAGTTAGCCGGTTGGGTCCATTTCTATCGATCCCTTTCTTTTCCATGATCTTCACCAAAAAAGTAAAAATTCTGTGCGAGCCTACTTATGAATCTTGAATCACCGATAGTGGATCCACCCATGGGGAGGTTATACATCTTGACTGATAAATGAATATTGTACAAGGATCTGTTAGTATTGAATATCAATGAGTCAATCCATCAAATACTGTAGTAATTGAGTATGCCAATTAAACAACTAGTGCACCAATCAGAGTCCAACCTCACCAATTGTTGGACGATGTGTGATGTCAGAATATGCTGATATAAACAATTGACTGCTAGTACTTAGCTGATAAAACTCGAGCAAAATAATTTACAAAGGAGGTGAACTACAGACAAACATGATATATTTTAAATTATTTTAGTATTATTTAGTATATATTATCAAATTTATAATTTATTTTAATTGCAGAATAACGTGGCTGAGGTCGATTCCTTGCGTTCACATCTTATTACTGATGAATGTATCGGTTTACTAAGGTTAGAGACAATAAAACTTGACTTTGGCACATTTTATTTGTGTCATAGACGATTTCGGAAATACTAGATCATGGCGCATTGTGATTGTATACATAATCGCGAATGAACGGAGTGTTAATACAGAAAAACTCTGATCACGTGATCAGTTTTGACGTTTGACGTTCACCGTATACGCATACTTCTGATCACGTGATCAGTTTTGACGTTTGACGTTCTCCGTATACGCATACCTAAACCTCTCTATTATCTCAGAAAAGGCCACAACTCCAAGCCGTTTGRCACTGACCAACTTCAATTTGCCATAATCTCACGGGCAACTTGTTTATTGACTAGCTGTCGAATTTATTTGAGCGAGTAGAAAAACACGACTGAAGGGAACTATGGGTAATTTCACTTAGTATCCACTAAATTGACTTCTGAACCTTTTGACGTCACTACTTGATTTTCAATGCATTGTGGGATTAGTTACTAGAGAAAACAAAAGAAATCCGCCATGTTCTGTCCCAAACATATCCTACAATGCATTGCGTATACGATATATGACGTAAAAGCTTCAAGTCTATTGTGAGCTATCACGAATTCAGAATTCTGATTGGCAACAAATTGGTATTATGGTAGACCATTGTCGCATCGAATGAACTAAAATGGTCTAAAAAGAATGTCGACAAAAATTGACCTCTGAAGCGTTTACGTCACCTTGATTTGCAATGCATTGTGGGATCAGTTTCTGGAGTAAACAAAAGAAATGGCTGTAAGTTTTGACCCAAACACATCCTACAATGCATTGCGTATACGGTATATGACGCAAACGCTTGAGAGGTCTATTGTTAGTTATTTTTGGATTTCATTGTCAAATTTGCCCAATAGTTTGATTGATACTCACACCGTTGGATGAATCTGAATCCCATAATTTCAATCGTTCGAGCATGCGTATTAAATCCACTTTGTTCTCTTCTTCAGTGAGATGCTTGATGCGGAAGAAATTCAAGTGTGTTACTTTGCTGGGGGTATATTAGCCAATGTTGCGTTGGCCTGGGATCATGCGTTACCTGTCACTCCAAGCAAGTCGCAAGTCATCAACAAATTGGTGATTGAATGAATTCTTGTTCTTTTCTTTTTGTTTTGTTTCGCTTCGTTTTGATTTTTTTTCTTGTTTCATTGCATTGAATAATCCAGTTTCGAATACTCCAGTTTTGAGATCTTATTTGTGCAGCCTTAACCTCGAAAGCATGTAATATATTCTTTTATTTAACAAAGAATCTATTGTAATGCAAACACTCTGCGTACAAAAAAAGACAATAAAAATTTATGCTTCATTGAAGCTAAGATGGCACATAAGAGAGTTCGAAACTGGAGTATTCTCCAATGCTCTGTGCTAGTCTCATTTGTGCGCAAAATATTCTTAATTGTGAGAGTAAAAGGGTGAGATTTCAAATCAATTCTTTTGTCTTTCTTTTCAAATTCCATGCGTTTTCTCGGGCTATGAATAAAACAAAAGAATATGTTTCTTGGTTTTGAGGCTAACACACAGAACTCGAGTTGGAGTATTTGGTGCATTGGGCATAATATGAAACTTTTCTCATACACCTTTTCAGTTGCTCTTAGGCCTCGACAGCGTGTTAAATATTCTTTTGAATTTGTAGGAATGTGAGCAATGCAAACATTGATGTGAATAGTCTCATTTGTCAAATTCAAAAGAATAATTAACTTGCTATCGAGGCGTAAGTGCAACTGAAAAGGTGTATTGAAGGGCAAAATCGCAAAATGTGTTTTCCATGAAAAAGATGGAGCAAGGGTGGCCAAGCGGTTCGATTCACGGCATTCTGGGACTTATGTGATTTGAGTTTGTAGGCTGGTTCTCTTAATTGCTCCAGGGGTTTTCTCCAGGTGCGCTGGTTTTCTTCCTCAGTCAAAGACTAGCTGTAAGGAGTATCATGTGCTAAAACATTCAAAATATAGTGGTCGTGAGTGCGAGCGAGTCTGATACCTAAAGGCCCGTTTACACTTGCAATTTTTGCAGCGCGTCGTCACGCGACAATCGCCACTGTGTTCTCTCGCACCTCAAATCGTACGTGTAAACAGCCCCGCGATTGTCGCGGCGATCAAAAATCGCCGCGAGTTGCAGCTAAATTTCAAGCATGTTCGAAACTAAGGCGATTGTCGCGCGACAATCGCGCTGAAAAAATTTCAAGCAAAAATTGCAAGTGTAAACGGGCCTTCAAACAGTAGTCATTGGCTAGGGAGACTCGGCGACGACTTCCAGTATCTAGACGTAAAATATGTATTTATTTTTTTTATTAGTTTATTTTATTATTTATTTTGAATCTCAGTGATTTGAATATTTCATCTTATTTCTAAAGGAGGAATCTGTCCTTAAATGGCCGTTACAAGACAACGAAATGGTTGCCTACAGGTATGATAATGCACTTAAAGTAGCCTTCTCTTTCTTCCTCCTTTGGGCTTCCTTTGTAACGATCATCTTGGCCGCGAGGGACTAGTGACGAGAAAGGAAAAATAAGAAGAGGAGGAGTTTCCCCTCTCTCGCCCCCATTTTCGCTCTTTTGACTCCCAAAAAACGAGAAGATAAAATTCATATTTCAGTCCAAGCTATTACATATGAAAGCAAATTATGTCGTACAATTATGTCGAATCCTCGAATGTGTTCATAGATAATTATTCAACAAATAAATAAGGCTCAGCCGTGGTTTATACTCTCATAAACCACACTTTTTTGGCCAATCAGAGCGCGCGTTAGAATTCATCTATATAATAAAATGATAATAAAGAAATATTGATTCTTGTTTTAGATCATTCATGCCATTTCTACCGTTACTCAAATCTAATATACCTGCTGTACAATTGTGGGCAACTTGGGGAATTCTACACGTTTGTACGAAGAACGGTAGGTTATATCAAAGACTGCTACAGCGTTAACCCCGCCTTACCCCTGCCTGCCAAGCCAGACGTCCTAAACGATTCGATATTAATTCTCCTAACTGTACTCCCTTGAAGTTTTTTTTCTTCTTCCTTGGATTTGCTGAGGTTCACACATGTTTTCTTAAAATATTTCTACAAATATTTTCTAAACATTTTTGCTTTGAAAAAATTGTAAGTACCACATCTAAACTACATTATTTACTACACCTTTTTTTCGTTTTAATGCTCTAAACTGGAAAACAAATTTGGCCTAATTTCCATAATTGATGAGTCTTTCCGGCGTCAGCATACCGCTGACATTTAGCCGTGAAGACTCTGGGCTCGAGATTGGGTCTACCCCGATTGACCATAGCTCAATAAACGATCAGAATGTAGATACTTATGTATGTTGATATATGATCTATTTTAGCGGCTCGATACGTACCGCTGCTGATCAACGACGGTCTACAAGATATCATGAGGTTGTTGTCAGTACAAGAGGACCAGCATGCAATACTTCAAGAGCTGTCCGCGCAGGTGTGGCGAAAGGCCAATGAATACATGAATAGCAAAGACAGTCTTTGAGAAAAAAACGCGATATTTACTCTGTTTTTGAAGAGACGATGTAAATAAAGTTGCTGCCTTTAAAGTGTAATTATGCCACATCCATATGTTATGAGAAAAAACGCAAGGGCTGTTGTCGTTTGTTGTAGCTGAAGACCGAAATAATAATAAAATAAACCGTGAAAGACATATTACACTATTTTTATTTTATTCTATTAGCTTCTCCTTACAAAATGAGATATGAAAAAGAAAAAAAGAAATAAAAAAGTACAGAGCAAGGCAGGGAACCCCACAACAGCGTAAGACAATTACAATAATAGCAAAACATCAGAAACTATTGATCGTTTTCAACCATTCCCAAGAGAGTCAAAAGATAAAAGACCGGCGGCCATGTTGGAGGAATAAACAATAGATACTAATGAGAAATCATTTGTTGAAGTTCCTCCAAGATGGCCGCTGTGACGTATAGTGAAAACGAAGAATTAGAATCAACGACTGAAGGATTTGCAGATAAAGGATGGGAAACATTACACGAAGGACATATAGTATAAAACTAAGTACGCGGGTCTTTCGGGTCGTAAAAAGGTGAGTGAGCGCATATATTAACCTAACAATGTAACTATGGTTAGACTGTTCTGCTAAACAAAATTTCGCTTATTGGATTCACCTTATAGAAGTGGAGACTAAATGGAGCCAATGTTTACCACAGACAATCTTACAATACAAATCAGTTGTTATTCCTTTTCAACTAGCAAAACCCATGGCTACTTTCGGTCGTGCAATTGACATTCGCCATTTTATCCGACATCCTTTTTTGAAATAGCTATATACGCATATAGATATTGTTGAAAAGAAACGCTGTATGTATATATAGACAAAAGCGGTCAATAATTTTTTAAAAGAACTGAGATACAGTACAAGTGCCATATGGTAATCTTAAGCATTAACAGTTGATTTACTCTTTGATAATGGGTGACATTTCCACCAAATATAAAATTTTCTTTTTCTTTATTTTAAAATTTGGACAGAATAATTACAACTCACACCTGTATGCAATTGACCATCAAAAGACTGTCAAAAGAATGATCGTAATTAGAGCTGACATGGTACTCCATTGAATAGTTAACTAGTCGAGGATAATGAAATTATCAGCATAAACAACACAATTCACGGCAGCAGTATTCGAACTTTGTTTCAAGTTCATTTCCAATATGGCTGCCATCTTGACAGAAATGCCATTGATTGCCTAGTGCGCATGAACAGACTTATTCATGTTAAAATCGTGTCAAACAGACTACATTCAAACATTCTCAACCAATTAAAACGCCGGATAAAATATGTGAATAATAAAAGACGCCTTTTGCCTCAGTCATTATTTGAATCATTTCACCGATAAACAGGCCAGCAAACACTAAACAAGGATGGAGGACTTCAACATCTCACTCACAAACCACTCTAACAGTTCGATCTACAGCTGCAAGTATCGGGAACCAGAAACTGATCTTGAGAAAATTGCCAAACGCACTGCCTACCTATTGCTTAATTTGATCGGGATTTTTGGCAACGTTTTCGTCATCATACTCGCTGCTAAATACACAGTACGCAAGAACCTGCACCATTTGATCATCAACATGGCCGTGTCAGATGCTCTTTTTCTTAGCACTTTCTTTTTAAACAACATTCCTTGGCTGTCTGACAAGAAATGGAGTATATATCCTAAAAACACGTTTGGTAATATACTCTGCCACATTATAAAATTGTTCCTGAATGTTTCGTATAAAGTATCTCTCATAACTCTATTGGTGATCGGCATTGAGCGATTCAGAGCAACGAGACGTGTATTGAAAATCTCACAGCCATATACATTTAAAAAACGAATGATTGTACCTGGAATCTGCTGGTTAATTCCCACGCCATCCTCTGCTTACTGGACGTATGTGCGTTGCAATAAATCGAGAATTGGGCAGATTACTTCCACAATTTCGTTAGCAGAATTTTGGTCAATTGTTATTGTATGTTGCGTAGTATTCGTTCTAAGTATTATTACAATAAGACGACTATCCAGACCTCAAGCCATCCAAGACCATCTAAACCAACAACAGAGAAACGCACGAAAAAAACGAACTCAATCAGCCGTACGAATGGTTCTGGTCTCTGTGCTGCTGTACACATTTTGCTTCGTTCCCATATACGTTTTCTTCGTTTTGGGGCATCTAGACAGAGTCATTCCAGCAGTTGATATAATTGATACCACATCCTGTATCGACTGGTATTCTTTCTATTATATCATACTTGACTTTCTACCTGTCGTCAACCCCTGCTTCAGTCCTCTTATATACATAATATTTCTCCCTGACTTTCGGCAAGCTACGAAGAATGTACT